TTAAATTTATGAAAGAAGAGTTTATTTAGAGTAAATTTACTTTTTGAAATTTCCCAGACACCCTCATAGTTTCCACTTTTTTTCTTTTTTATATATTTTTTTAATGTATTTTTCCTTTATAATTAATTTACATAAAAAGGAAAAAAGTTATACTCCACGGCTAGGAAAATCATTTCTTAATTTCACTGCTTTCCTTCTCCGCGTAGTAGATTCAAATATAAAAAGCTATCTCCACTTGTTTTCTTTCACTGCCTTCCTGATCTTCATCGCTATCTCACATATTTTCTTACACAACCGATGAGATTCACCTTCAAATGGCTTCACCATTAATGGTTCGGGTCTCCTCTTCCGTTTCCCAACATACTTTTCATCCTTTGATTTTATGTACTACTATAATTTAGTACCACTTATCATCTAAACTTGAATTATTTTCTGCAGATTGCATCACGTTGGTAAATCCAGTAGTACATATTCTGGTATTTGCATTTTGTCTCTCAATTCTCAAATCTTGTAATTGAGGAAGCCCAAGTTTCTAGACCAGCTGGTATATATTTTTCAATCACTGTGTTTTTTGTTTTTTTTTTTTCACCTTGATTTTTTCTTCTCTCAAAAGCTTGATTTTAATATAAGCTTTGCTAACTTCATCACTGAATTATTAAAGCTTAGTATATAGTATATTCTTCTCTTTGAATTATACTTTTTGTTCTCAGTCTCCTCCAAAGTATTAGATTTTAGAGTGCTTTTCTTTTCTGGTTTTTAATTTTGTTATGTCTTCTTTAAAAATCTTTGAAATAATTAAAAAGTACATATTTGAGCAATTCGTGAAGAAGCTTTTTACTAGATATATCTTTATTAAAGTCATTTCTAATCGTTTGAGAAAACTGTAATTATTGTTATCTTTAAATTAACTATTTTAAAATTGATTTTTGTGTCATTTTTTGAATCTGCATATGACAAAATATCCATTTTTTTTAGTTGGTAGTGTCTACTTCTACTTATTTCTTATTAGCAACCATATTTATTTTCTTAATGTGACACATAAATGGGTTATGTTTGATTTTATGAAAAATTTTGATGCATTTCATTATATATATATATATATATATATCTGTATATTACATCTTTGATGCATTTTTTTTTTAGTTAATGGTATCTCCATATGTTTTGATTTGATAATCAGATTCTTCAATTTTTTTTTTTATCATTATCCTTTATGGATCTAAAAGTTTTTAAGTATTTTTGGCTAAAAATTTCTCTAGAATGCAAATCACTCCTTAAGTCAACTCTTGTTTCCTTTATTCCTTATCTTTTAGTTTAAAAATGAAATGGAATTCATATAAATAAATTCTTTGAATTTAATTAAATCGAATTCTCATATTTATTTAACCAAATTTTAGTCTCTTTGCTATAAAGTATAAATTAAAGCAGAATTAATTTCATTTCTCTTTTGCAGATTGTATCATTTTTGGTTTTTCTATTCCATATTCTGCAACTTGCATTCTCTGTTAAAGAATTTTCAAAATATTTCCAGGATTGGGGTTCGAACCACAAAAAGTTGATTCGAAGCAATTGCGCAGAATGCATTTGAGAAAGTATAACTTTGGTTCGAATCATAATTATATGATTCGAATCATTTACGGAAAATCAAAATCCGAAAAGTTACGATTTTGGTTCGAACCACATTTTTCTGATTCGAACCATTTACGAAAAATCAAAGGTTTAAGTACCATTTTAGTCCCTCAACTTATCACTTTGGTACCAAAATTGTCCCT